GGCAGTACTCAGGGCTAAACCCTGGCAGTGCTCTGGGCACAATACATGGTGTCGGGGACTGATCCAGGTGGGTCATCTGCCAGGCAAGCACTCTGCCCGCTGTACTCCCCGACCCCGCAGAAGACCATTTTTAAAAGAGAGAACAAACAGACGAAAACCATTTCTCAATACATTAAATGAAAAGAACTAGAAAACCAACAGTGACCCTCAGAGATCCTTTAGACTGGGAATCATTTGTTTGTTCACAAAGATGGCTTAATGCTTTTTGTAACCCCATCACTGCCGCTTCACAAGTTCAGGATGACATGAGCCACTGTAACATAGTTCCTAGACACTCGACTTGGTCTGATCAATTTTGTTCCCTCACCTAGGGTGAGTGGCCAGGAATGATCATGGTCAAGAGGCAGCGGCTGGGGCACAAGCCCAGCACATGCCCTACCTGGGTCGGATCCTCTGCACTGCATGGCCCCTGAGCATCGCCAGGTGCAGCTCTGGCAGCCCACATACTCCATGTTGGCCCAGAACCCACACACACAAGTCCCAGAAGCAAGACATTCCCGGGCCCTTTCACTGAACCACCAAGGCCAAGGATGTGGGGGGTGGAGGGGATGCCCAGGCCTTTTGAGTAACTGGAGGCAACCATGACCCGTCCAAATTTGAAAAACAAGATTAGGCATTACCAACAACAATAAACTGAAATAAAATAACAACACCTCAGCCTACCTTGTTGTTGCAACATTTGATCTTTATCTTTTAAACTTTGACCTGTAATTCTTGACATTCAATGTTTTTCCTTTCAAACTTTGACCTGTATAGTTTTTAAAGCTTGGAAACACTTCTGAAATGTCTCCTGATCAAAAATGATAAGGCCTAACAAATCAGGTGATTAAAGGGTTTTTGGTTGGCTTTGGTTTTTTGTTTTTTTGGTCTTTTGTTTTTTTGGTTTTTGGGTCACACGCACAGCTCAGGGGTTATTCCTGGCTCTGTGCTCAGATATTACTCCTGGCAATGCTTGCTTGAGGGGCCATACCAAATGCCAGGGATCAAACTTGGTTTGGTAATGTGCAAGGCCAGCATCCTCCCCGTTGTACTTTCTCTCAACCCTCAAATTCATTTTTTTTCTCAATACAAAGTTGCTTTAAAAAAAAAAGTTGAGTATTTTATTAAGCAGTTTGCAACTGGAATCTTTTTAAAAAGCTGTCAATATCTATTTTTTGTAAATCTTCCAAAGAAGCAATGCATGAGATAGTTAAACACGAACCCTATGACCTTACAAAAAGAGATATTTTAGATATGTAATTTGATAACATTTTAGTTATTCAGATTGTTTGACTCTAATTTTATTAAAATCTCATGGAGCGGGAAATCTCCAAGCACTTATTATGCTCCACAATTATTATAAACCCAACAATTTAAATGAGAAGAGGAGATAATGACATTAACTTCTTAACTTAAAGCCCTCTGTGGCATGATTTAAAAATATTCTCATGGTTGGAAATTTATGTAAATTGAATTCATCTATCATTGGTTATTACCAGTCAGCTCCATGTTTTAAAAAAATGTTTTCTGTAACAATTAGTTCTTTAAAACACTGTGTTTTAATTAGACCTGGGACATTATTAAACTAGCTATAAATATGTGAGCTATTTTATTTGGTATGCCCAGATGTCTGAAAATCAACATGAATACTCTCAGAGTTCTTTCTTCAGAAGTTCTTCCCCCAAAATCCCTCTTCACTCACAGTTTTAATATAATCTGTAGTAAGTACCCTTTTCAGAGTCCATTATAAAAATATAAAAAAAAATGGTCCCTCATGCCATAGGATAATGAGTCAATCCATATATTTTGGAACTCAAAGGGTTTATCTCAGAGGAGATGGGTCAGTGATAACCATTTTCTTTATTATATGAATATCTACAGTCAAAAGAAAAATATTCCTGGTAGAGTTTGGACAAAACCTAGGTGTTATTTCTACTACACCATACAAGCATGTGTAAATTATTTGTAGAATATATGAATAGCTAAGAATATAATTAATCCTCACTGCATTATATGTTTAGGTGCTATGATTACCCCCAATATATATTTTATGGGTTGGGCAGTTGTCTCTTAAAACTGTCTGGATTCAACTGTCTGGATTGTCTAGTTAGTTAGACAAACTAACTCTGGAAAACAAACTTCTTCCCATAATCCTAAGCTTAAGGGTAGGTGAATATTTTCATTTATAAAGAAAACTCTTCTAAAACTCTAAGAAGTATCATTCCCTTTTGAGAATACCAAAATCAAATCAAGGGCTGTCATTTGGAAATTTCCTCCTCGAAAACAAGTGCTCTTCCCAAATTCAATGCAAGTCAACAGCTTCTCCCTAAAATCTTTGCATAACAGTCCAGGTGGATCTCTCTCCAAATTCTAGACAATGGTAACACAGAGAGAAAGTTCTAGCTGCTTCTAACTAATCATTCTCTTGTCATACGTCCCAATCTCTCCAGTAGGTTGATGTGACTCAATGACTAAGTTTTGCAACAAAATATTATTGCAAAGATGGTAGTGGCATTCCAGAGGTCCTGTGTAAAGGAAGATAAAGTTTTTAGGTGGGCTCCTTTGCCCCTCCTGAAATTAAAGGTCTTGCTCTGCAGACGCCTTTTTTGGCCAGAATGCCAGCCATCTTCTCGCACCATGAGTTAGAGATCATACACTATGGGAGATGAAGGAGAAAGAAGCATTTTGACCCTCAGTGGAACCACACTTGAAGAGTTGCCCACCAGATTTCACTTACTAGAGAATAAATCTTTGTCTTGTATAAACCACCTCTATTTGGCTGAAGGGTTCTTTTTTTTTCCCTGTTAAATAAGCTGAATCTAATTCTAACTGATTCAGTTCAGACTCATACATATTTCATGATCCAGGATCCGTTGTAATTATGGTGAAGGAAAAAAAAAAGACATCAAATCACTTCTCTTATCACCCTGAAACAAAACATCTACAATCATAATTTCCATTTGCAAACCTTATCTGGACATTTCCAACTTTGTAACAGAAAGAGGGGAAGGAAAAGGGGTATTTCTGCACCCCTGTCATTGCTCGGTTCTTTTCCTCTCTTCTCTCCTACTTGAGTCCTACCCTACCTAAAAGTCCCAGCTCAACAAAATTTGTTCCTGCCCACCTTTGAGGTCAGAGGTCATATACCTGAGTCGACTGACAATTGTGTTATCAAAGGGTAACACCTTTGTCTTGACTCTGGCTGGAGAGTTAGGGTTCAAGGCATTGGCCTTGACTCTTTGACTCCTGCATTCCTTTTTTTCAGCTGTGTCGTTTTCACAATGGAGTAAGGCTCATACCATATTTTCTTTGCACTTTCCACAGCTAGGAGAAAGACACTGCCTTTGTATTGAAGGAGATCAAATAATACTATTGATGGAGTAACTAGACCAAAAGAATGGAAGAGCAGGAAAAAAGAAGACCAGGAAGGAGTGAAAATGCACAAGTTCTTAGAAGGGAAAAAGGCACTTCAAAAAATCCCAAACAACCCCCTGAACAAGCTTGACTTCATTCGACCTCACTGAAGAATTGGACCCAGCAAGAAATACTGCGATAAGTTCATTATTCACACAGTCTGCACAGAGCTCAAACTATACTTAGTGAACTTACCCTCCAATTAACACACCACATATCTTGCTTCAGTTATTGGGATAAGTGCCTCAACCCTATTTCTCAATTACCCTCGATAGTATATTTTCTCTCCCAAAGAAATCTAACTTAGGGAATGAGGATCACAAAGTAGCTGTGGATGATTCCAAACCACCCACCAAAGGGGCCTCTAGGGAGATCAAATTGTACAGATATTCTGTCAAGTAAGAGAACATAGGAAAATAATTCTTGAAAATAGTTTTAAGAGGGATTTAACACAATATTACTGAGTTTTAATGAGCTCAAGAGATATTTTCATCAGACCACAAAGATTTTCTTCTCAATAATAATAATAAAACCTCAGGAATAATACTACTATTTAGTTATAAATAAGAAATACTCTAAGCATATATTTTTCAAAAGCCACATCATTAAAAGCTTAGTGACAACAGAACAATTAGAAGTTGTATGGTTACATAGAGATTTAACACTATGTAATAATATGCTTAAAAGCTTCAACGACACTTAAGGTGAATGCAACAATCAATGTATAAATAGGAGTAATTGACATTTTACCTAGATTGATAAACAGGCAATTTTATTCTCAGCTATTTGTAAGTGTAGTATTATTACTAAGTAATATCCCTAAAAATGTAATATTCTAATTTATTTTCACAAATTTAGTAAATTTGGGGATATAAATGAAAATATTCAGGTAACAGAGATCTCCGTTTCTCATTCTTTTCTAACACAAATCAAGACTTTGTTACATCATCCATTTAAAAATCATATTACTCGTAGTATTTCTAATTACTCAGTTAAAATTTAAAAATCTTTCTATATACAAGCTATAATTGAAATATGAAAAATAAATTTCTTGCAAATCACTCATAATTTCCTCATTTTCATTTTTTCCACACAGATCTCTCCAAAGTATTTACGACAGTCGCTTCTTTGAGAGTGAAATGAACAAAATAAATGACACGTCAACAAGTAAATTAGCATTCTGATTCTGACCATCTGGGTCTTGTTTCCTTTTTGAAATCCTCAGTCCCAGGATACAAAATAATAATCATCTAAAAGACCTCATTAAATGATCGATACATTGACATAACCTCTATAAGGAGACATGTAGGGTTTTAATTGATTCTTTGAATCCATTAAATGGAATATTAAACTCAAGCCTCCAAATTATAAGTGTAAGAGAACATTTTCTTTATTAACTAATTTCTTCAGGGCACGGATGGTGGCACATGAAAACATTCACATACTTTTACATTTAACCAAATAATTAAAAATTCCATACTTTTTCAGTGTGGAAACAACATCAGAACGGCAGTTTTAAGAGACAAGTTAAAGTCATGTTTACTTACCAAAAAACTTCCGAAGGCGGAATTAAATATCGCAGCTGCCTACAGAGAAAATAAATAGGGGGAAAACACTCACTAAAAGTAATTAGGAAAAAGAAAACCAAAGATTATCATTCTCCCATTCCCTACCACCCCTAAAACGTTGACTCTATAAAGGAAAGTTAGTCCCTGCTTCCAAAAACTGCCAGTGGCCTGTACTTTACTGAGACAGACGAGCTGTAGCTTAGAATTCTGAAATAATGGGTCTTAATGGCCAGCAAAAAAGACTTGTCATGACATGCTTTGAACCTTCATGGCAGGACCAAAGAACCATCACGGAGAGGGATTCAAGCCCTACTGGTTATGAACTCTGCTACTAGACAGACTTCAAAACGATCCTATTTATTCATCTGAAACATCTGGACTGCGAGGAAAAGGAGCATCGGAATTGGAAAGCAAACATTTACTCTCTTCATAGGGAAGCAAAAGAGGGAGAACTGCTCTTTCCCAACGACACACAGGAAGGAGAAGGAAACCCCGTGAAGACCTCGGGCATTTTGGTTAGATCTTTCCTCCTGAAACAAGAACAAGCAGGAAAAAACTTCCACCAGACGTTCACAATTCAAAGAGGCATGGCGCTTACCTAAACATCCAGGGAACACAGGGCAGACAGAACTAGAACGCTTCAAGGAATCCCTCTATTCCACGAAGCTCTACCTGGTTCCTGAAGCTTTTCGCGTGATACAGAAAGAATTAAAAATGTGTGTGAGATCCAATTCAATGACAGAAAAAGGAGAAAAAAGAAAGATAATGAGCAGAGGGGAGAGAGAGAGTGAGAGAGAGAGAGAGAGAGAGAGAGAGAGAGAGAGAGAATGAGAGACAGAGAGAGAGAGAGAGAGAGAGAGCAAGAGGAAAACCTATTGACCGCTCCTGTCGATCCAGAGCAGAATTAAATTAATCATCATGGACATTAGTTGCCATGTCAGAGCAAGAAGAGGATGTCAGTTGAGCAAGTTGGAACAAAGTCCAAAGCCAAGCTGAGAGCAGGAGCTGCCTTCGGAGCCTTCTGCTCCAGAAGGGGCTGCAGAAAGAGTGCATAGATAATGAGATCCCTGGCTCCAGAGAGCTGAGCTCCCACTCAACTTCATAATTAATTCAAAGCTCTGATAATTTCATTAGATTTCTCCTTGGCTGGCCCTATCAATAAAAGATGGCACTGGACCAACACTCCTCTGTGGCAAAAAAAAAAAAAAAAAAAAACCACAGAGGAACAGGCACAAACTAGGGGAACCTTTGCTTTCTGTAGGAGACAATAGCATATGGTGCTTCCGGTATGAGAGGGGTGGGGGATTGGACGTGGGGGCGGGGAAGACACAGCTAAATAAAACATCACAGAGGACAACTGTGAAATGCGATGCTCGCAATGTAAAGACTATTTCACCAATATGGGAAAGGCATGTCCTTTGACTTAGGATGAACCAACAACATGGTCTACCAGGCCCCCAAGAGCAGGTCTTGGTCCATTTCATTTCCTGCCTTGAATTTTCTATTCTGAAAACTCTAAATTAGTAGGATTCCCCAAACCCATTGGGCTGTCCTCACCTCTTCTCTGAAATGCTTTCTTTCTTCCCTACTTTAGGAATTCCAATTTCTCTTAAGTCACTCAGCTTGGCCATCATATGTCCACTCATTCTGGAGAAGCTTCCAATCACCTCCTCAAACACACAACAAACACACACACACACACACAGGCACACACACTTCTAGATGTAGTTTAATGTAGTTTAATGTGCCCACACCTCCTGCCAAAACACACGAAGAATGCTTCCGCTGTGACACTTGTCATCATATTAAAATGGCCTGTGTACAAGTGTACATACATACCTTCCTGTTTCTCTGCAGACTAAGGTCCTCAAAAAAATAGAATAAAAGGAATCTAACGAAGTTCATCGTAAGCAGCTACATATTTGTTAACCCAGAAATTAGAATTCTCGTAAATACCCAACGTCTACTTCCACTGCTAAGTAAGTCTCTATGATCGGCAGAGTTCAAGGACTTCGAGACTCTTGGGACTGGATCTGACACCTGGAACCAGATTCGGACCCACCATCTCTCATCTCTTCCTCCACATATCTTGTCTACTTTCAAGTGCCTCCACTTTTCCATTCTGATACAGGCTACATAATGATAAAAATGCTTCAAATAAAGAATGTCTTAACATTCACCACTGCTCACCATAGCTACTGGGTTCAGTAAGTAAAAACTAGATTTACCATGGATGATTCTGGCACCATTTAAAACCAGGATGATTTGCATAAGCAGGCTAAGATATTTGAAGATTCCAAATAGTGTGTATACTCCTGAACTTCTGTAGTACTGTAAACCAATGGTAAACTGATATAAACTGTATTTTAAATGAGACTGGAACCCAAGAAGTGTGTATGATTTATCTGATTTGTTTGCTTGTTTTGAGCTGTCTCCCTGGCCTCATCAAGCACTACTCCAACATCAGGTGAACATCCTAACATTTACCTCCACTGCCATGTTGGTGACCCCTCAGAGGTAGGGTGCAGTTCCACTGCTCTTTCTCTTTCAGATGCCTACAAGAAGTCGGCTGTCCCCTGGGCGTCCAACCTACCAGCAATCAATTAGAGACACTCAAGACCCTTCTGTAGCAGCTCTAGAATCAGAGAAACTCGCTTCCTTACTAGATTCTCAGTTCATTCTAAAGGAGATGACTTAGGAGCAGCCCAACTGAAGAGGTACAGGAGGAGGTTCTAGGCATGTTTTAGAGTTCCTCAATACGAAAGCTCTCCTACACCCTTTTTTTTGAGTTTTTCTGGAGGTTTCATGTTCAGCCCTTCTCCCTACTTAGGGCCACGGGGGTGGGCCCCCATGTCCTCCCTTATGGCACTGTCAGTCCCTGGCCAGGCAAACAGTCCTGATCTTTCCTAATCCAGGGGCTTTCCAAAACTCATCTCCACAATATAATCAGACACATCTTGTGCTGTTCTCACTTAGGGACCCTCACAATGGCTTTAGAAGTTCAACTGATATATTTTTTGGTTTATTTCTGGAGCAAGATAGTTTCTGCTCTTATTTTATTTTGGGTTTGGGGCCACACCTGACAGAGCTCACAACTTATTCCTGGCTCAGCAATCACTCCTGGCAGACTTTGGGGACCTCATGAGGTGCTGGGGTTCAAACCCAGGTCAGCTGCATGCAAGGCAAATGCTCTGTCTGCTGTACTATCACTCCAGTCCATTTTGATTGAAACTTATTTTTAAAAATGTAAGGAAAGAGAAAGAGAGAAGTATATGTTCAAGAAAGAACACAAGCTTCTACAGAGTTGAAACACAGAGGCAAACAAGTGAGATACACATTCAAGGGAGATCATGGACTTGAAAAGTAAGCTGAATGTATCTTTCTTATGATAAATTCACAGTATTATAGTCCCATGGTATAAATAGTGCACACACATCCACACACACACATAAGTATGGAAAATGAACCACTATATGTTGCAAAAGGGGTTACCAAAAAAGCTAACAAAGGCTCAACCTGTTGAGCGGGCTTGGGTGCGGCGAGCTCATCTTACCTTTTTCCTTCTGTTCTATTCGCCCTTTCAGAAGGGTTATCTGGGAAAGAGGGTGGTGCACACTCTACTGTCAGCATCTGAAACCTCTTTACATCAGAAATAAAATATTTGCTTTTGAGATAAAAATGGCAATGTCAAGGCATGGCTAGCTAGGAGCTAAGCACCATCCAGAGCACACACCACTGTGTGTGTGTGTGTGTGTGTGTGTGTGTGTGTGTTTGTTTGTGTAAGAGGACAGAGGACACCGGTAGGGGCAAGTGGAACAGGGGAATTTCTGGTTTGGAAAAATAAACAAAAGGGGTCAGAGAGAGAGAGAGAGCACAATGGGTAGTGCAGGCTTTGCCTGCAGCCAACTCAGGTTCGATCCCTAGCACTCCATATGGTCCTCTGCGCCCCGCCACGAGTAATCCCTGAGTTTCAGAGCCCAGAGTAAGTCCTGAGCAACTTCAGGTGTAGCCCAAGCCCCGTAACTCCCCCAAAAATAAAAGCAAAAAGCAAATGCACCTGACTTTTGTAGCAAATATCATTTTAGAGGACACAAACCATGTTCTGGGATCAAAATTGAACTACCAAAGGCAGTAATAGTTTTCTGATCAAATAATGAATCCCATCTGCAAAGTTATACCTTGGCATAATCACATCTGATGGATAATTAGATCAATGCTAACTGAAAAACCATCATTGCAGCAGTTTCTCGTTTTTTAATACTGGGTGGGCTGGCTTCTTCGATATTACAGTTTTAGACAACAAACTGCTTTTGGCATCAGCCTAATTTCACCCACTCTATGGTATTTTACTCAGATTTCATTATATTTTGTACAGCGTGTCTTTATTACACTACTTTGTAAAATCGAGCAAGTTCAATCATGAATTAATTTCTTCACAACCTGCTCATAATTATTTGAAATAAGATGGAAACATTTAAAAAAAAGAAAAAACAAAGCACTGAGGACAGAGAGTTCTCTAACTCACAAAAACAAGCCCTTCTTCGATCAGCTGCATTTAAAAACTGGACCGCGAGGGCCCCAGAGCTCTGGTCACCAGGCCAACCTGGGTGAGATTCTTGGGTGTCCCTTATGGTCCCCGGGGAATCACCAGGAGTGCTCCCTGAGTGCAGAGCCAGGCGGTGACTCCTGAGTATCACTGAGTGTGATGCCCCCAAATTAAAAATAAATTCGTTAATTAATTAAATAAAGACCAGGAGAGGACCGCGTGGACCTTGTACTTTCCTTACTGCCCTGGGCTCGCCACACCCCGCCTGCCTTGGCCACACCCACGTCTTTCCCTTGGTCTGGCCCCTTTGGTCTGCGCTTCAGAAGCATGGGTGGGGGGCGCGGAGAGGGGGGGTGCAAGGGCGTGGGGGGCAGTGCCTGGAGCCCAGGAGCAGGCAGCAATCCCCGGTGCCCTCTGGGACTCCAGCATACACTGAGGGGGTCTCCCAGCGCCGCACGCCTGCGTCTCTGCA